CATGTTGCCAAAATTCGCATTGACCAATCAAATCACGTTCTGAGTTGGATTATCCCAGCAGGCTGCTCCATTTACTGTTCGGAGTACTCCGGATTTTCGGAACACTAATTAAATCGAACCAATAATGGTCACATGACTGTTCTGACGGTCACATGACTGTTCTAGCTACCCCTACTTTTGAGTAGGGGCAGTCAGAACAGTCATGTGACCGTTTTCGGTTCGATTCGATTAGTGTTCCGAAAATCCGGAGTACTCCGAACAGTAAATGGAGCAGCCTGCAGGGCTTCTGAGAGCAATAAGCGCAGAAGCCCTGGGTACGAGGTTGACGTGAAACGTGAATATTCTACAACCTCGTACCCAGGGCTTCTGCGCTTATTGCTCTCAGAAGCCCTGGGATAATCCAAACCGGAACACCATAGAACAGTGGTGCCCCCGGAAGCGGAAGTAAACAGTAGCTCCAGCTAAAAACGCTGACTGGGCATATTTTTACGCAAGGAGTGAGAATGGATGATTTGTTGCAATTTATGATATATTTGGACTTGTAAAGACGTCTTAAACTGCTTCTCGCGTGGCTTTTGGAATTTAAAGTCAGGAATGATCAATTTAGAGATACAATTATGCGTAAAATTAGCCCTTTGGCGAGCAAAAGAACATCTTATATCGCGACAACAGCATACCTTGTCAGCGATATACAGGGGCTATTCAATAATTAAAGTATAAATATTTATATTCGAGTACAACCTTGGTTATTTCAAAATTAACAGACTAGAAATCTTACTGGTAACATGGCTGGCTGCCGATTATCTTGGATTTGAGGGTTTTGAACAAGATATTGCAAGATTTAATTATAAATGCACAAGATATACTGTACTGTAAACATGCATCTACTTGAAGAATGTAAAACGAACAGTGATGAGTGATGTAATATTATTCTGTACTTTAATATTTGGAAAACCTTTTTGGCAAATCTTGAGAATAATGGCTTTGGGAATCAATGTTGAAAATTGAAAACTGTCAGATAGCTGCATGGACAGCATGGTTAGAAGCATACATGTCATCGGATGAAACTCCAACTTTTGTTAATTGCTGATGTTCTAGTATTGGAATGAACAGTGTTATAAGAACCAATGGTGCTGAACTAATTTGGGTTTATTATAAAATATTGTTTATCATTTAGTTCTGGCCATTAACCTTACCTATTAAGTTATACATTGTGTCTTACTTTTTATTTTACTCTGGTGTGCACCCCCCCCCCAGGCTCTGGTCAACAGGGGTGCATGGGGGGTGCAAAAATGACGTTTATCCTAATTCTAACCAACTTATGTTAAGGAATTCAGTTGCGTATCACTAAGTTGACAATAGTGGAATAGCCAATATTAAATATTCTGAATTTTTAAATGTTTTGAGAATCTAAAAATTTTCCAGAATGTTTTCTCAGAATGCTGGAAATGCCATTTCAGAGACCCAAATTTTAAAAATTTTCCGTGGTAGTATGCCCCCGGACCACCCTAGAAGCCATTGGTTAGCACCCCCCAAAAAAACTTTGCTGGATCCACCACTGCACCAGATGATTTTATATGTTAGGATAGATCATTGGTGTTCAATGGATTATGTCATAATACACACTAGTTTGTTAACCTACTCTGTCTAATCATGCTAACACCATCATTGGCAATGGAATTGAGCAGTTATGTAGCCAGAATTTCTAATTAAGGCCTTCAAGGGGGACTGAAATCCCCAGGAGGGGCCTGCACTAGTTTGAATAAAGTTCGTTAGTATGTAAAAATATATTTGGACTCCCAAGCTATCCATGTATAATATAGTACAATGTAGACTGTTTAAATTCTAGTTAATAAAGTGCCATTTTGGGGGGCTATTTTAATGTGTTTTGGTGATTTGAAATAACCTTGCAGTTAAAACATGTTCAACTCTAATTAATTACAAACAAGTTCAGAACATTTAAAATATTTTGACCCCCCACCTCCTCTGGTTACACCACTGGAATTGACTTGAGCCTTTTAGACCTCTGAATTTTAGTTGCAACTTAGAACAGTGTTCTGACATACAAGAAAATTGTAAGAAAATTTAAAATTTGTGCAAAAGCATTCCTCAAATCGGTCGTTCCAGAAAATATCCACACTCTCCCCACAGGGGAAATTTCTGCCATTCAGAGGGGGAGGGGGGAAAATTGTTTCTGATAATAGTAAATGTATTAGGTGTTTTTTTTTCAAATCTAATCAAACTGTCAAATTGTCAATTTTGTACATGGGGAGGGGAAATTTTGGAGAAAGAAAAATTGTGACCAATCAGGTTGGGGGTCCACCTGTAGGCCTGGTCATAGGCATACAGGGCTGGGCTCAATTGTTGGGCAGACTAGGCCAGTCGGGCAATATTTACTTCACAGTTGGGCAATATTGGCTTATTATAAAAATAAATATGAGAAATTATTCCCTCAATATTGGGGGAAATATGCTATATAATGGTCGAAAATTTAGTTCATTTTGATTAATAGTCATTTAATATATGTGCTATCAACAGTTTCTTTATGGTATTAAGTAACAGATTACAATGTTTGTACATTAGAGACTTAGAGGCACTAATAACTCGATAATAAATAGGCACTAATACAAACTCTGAGCCAGTGCACCCAGCATCCTCAAATTGGGAATAATTTGTAAATTTAAATATTTGTGTATAATTCATAATTTATCCTATTCCAATACAAAATGCAATAAATATAGAACACACAATTTATCAAATAAAGGTAAAAAAGGTATTAAAAACTTTATTATGTAATATTTACATTGAATATCGTGGTTGAAGATTGTAGATTTATACTTGAAATTTCAATTTTCGAACGAGAAATGTTTCGCTTTATTATGTTAATTAAATTTTTTACTTTGTTCGCCATTCTTGCTTATTTACAAATACAAATAGTCCATTTCTTCTTTTGCTCTTTTCAAAATAGCCCAGAATTTGGTTCAAAAAAGTATTTTCATGCAAAAACCAGCATTTAACTTTTGTATACACTCCTTGTGATAGCAGACATGTTGCCAAAATATCACCCGGTTAATGAATAACTTCCGGTACTTTCATTGTATTCGCATTGACCAATCAAATCACGTTCTGAGTTGGATTATCCCAGGGCTTCTGAGAGCAATAAGCGCAGAAGCCCTGGGTACGAGGTTGGAATATTCTATCGAAGTGCAGAGATCGAAGTGTATTATTTTAGCTTTTAGGAATTTCAGCGAAAATGTTGCAGCCGATTTTAGAAACACTTAATAAGAAGAACATAATATTGGCTAGCGGTTCTCCGCGTAGAAAAGAAATCATGACAGCACTGGTAAGTACTGCAGATGTTGATGTTTTATAACCATGCAGTTGCAGAGTTGCTTGCAGTACTAGGCCAAATGAGGGAGATTATTCATTTATACTAGGAGTTACTATCGCAAGGAAAATGCTGCCGATATGTACATGTAGGATGTGCTACAAAAAGAGCGTTTTTACTGTATGTATGATTTATTGTCTTACACATCGTCGTTCCTCAGTTACCTTCGTACAATTATACCTTACATCTAATCTTATGAAAAGTATATTTTAAAGGGGAAGTCAAGTCCGTTCTGCTCATCGGTTCTGCGCATAACAATAGAGGGCCCTCTGAGGTAAACATTGCCCAAATTTTGAATGTTTCGAATTGTTCTGAACACAAACTCTATTTCATATTCATGTAGAAGCATAACGAACCAAAATGGTGTTAGATATTCAGACAGTACATCATATTTTAAAAAATACAGCAGTTCAAAATGTAAACAAACCGTTTGTTTACATTACGGACTTGACTTCCCCTTTAATACACTTAACAGTGCGACTTTGATAGTTGACACATAATACAAATGATAAAATGTGAATATTATTGAATGATTTTGTCACTCGTACAACTTTTAATTTGGCTATTCAAACAATTGATTTAAAATAGTTGAATTTATACTTACTGGGATGTTATTGCTTATTGGGATGTTGAAATTATGTTTGTTTTAAATACATTTAATTGATATTGTAAATAGCTTTTAAATACTTTTCATATTTGCTGTATACTTCTTGTTCACACGCCCCTCGTGGAAATCAGCTGTAGTTGACGAGGTTAGCGTGGTTAAATAAATCTATCTATCTATCTATATTCCATAAATTTATTTTGTATGATTACATTGACCTTGACGTTGTTCAAAATCATTTTGTATTGTATTGAAACTGTATGTCTATGACCTATGTTATGTACTATATTAACCCATTGAGTCGCATTGCACCCTGATGCACCTTACTTTGAACAGTATTTTACTCTGTCTAACGCCAGACGATTTTACTCGTCAAGGGGAGAGTGCTGGCGCTTAATGGGTTAACTGATCTATCTGCCCATGTGTCTAGTTAACCCATTGGGTCGCATTGCACCCTACTTTGAACAGTGTTTTACTCTGTCTAACGCCAGACGATTTTACTTGTCAAGGGGAGAGTGCTGGCGCTTAATTGGTTAACTGATCTATCTGCCCATGTGTCTAGTTAACCCATTGGGTCGCATTGCACCCTGATGCACCCTACTTTAGTATTTTACTCTGTCTAACACCAGAGTATTTTACTCTGTCTAACGCCAGACGATTTTACTCGTCAAGGGGAGAGCGCTGGCGCTTAATGGGTTAACACGCCCAAAATCTGTACTAAACTGCTAATTCTGTTTTGCGATTGGCACAGTTTAATCAAAGAATCCTCCCGTTGAACAAGAGCCTTCACAATATTTCAATTTATTATTAACTGAAGGCTCTGGTATCCAGGATAGCTTGCCATTGAATACAGTGCAATGCTTATATTTCTGAATGAATAAGATCAGACTCAGAACAGTCAGAACTGCAAAACTATATTGTTAGAAAGAAGTTGAAGTTGTGAGCATTATTGTGGTAACACAGCCATATGTATATATCAATGTATGTCAGTAGAATCATGTTTATAGGCTTTATATATAACTGAGGCCTTACACAAGTCATATCTTATACAAAAGTCAGTTGATATGCTATATTACATGTAATTGCTGATAAGTCCATATATGCAGACAACAATCCACACTGGGTAGCTCTAGGAATCTTGTTAAGCCTGATTTAACAACATCCCGCGTTTGTTTTTAAACTATAAACATCTAGAAATAGAACGTACCAAACACTATTATATACTGTTTGGCTTTGCACATATATTAAGTGACATAACAAACAAATAAACTAAAAGTTCATTTGCTTCTTGTATCAGCATAAAGGCATTAATCATTACTGTCGATTTGGTCGGGAATAGATCAGTGATTCAGTGGGTATTATAATTGCCGATATATTCTTGAAATCATATTGTTTCAATGCCTCTATATCGAAGTTTAATACACTAAAGTGACTAAATAAGTATAAACAGCAGATTTAAATATAAATGCCTTCATGTATTATAAAATATATCACCAGACAGGTAGACAGGGCTCACGGCACGACTACATCACTATACGAGAACGAAATAAAGCCATCCTTACCTGAATTATTCAAAATATTGTCGATCATTCTTGCGCCAGAGACACAAAATAACACCGTGCTTTATTTACCCATTCATCTTCACAAATATTACTCGGAATTTTTATGGAAATTCGCATTATTTTATGATTTTATATTTCTGTCCGTTTATAACAGTCGCCATGTTGTGAACAACCCCCCCCGGGAACAAAAAAATAATATCAAAACAGCTAGTTTTGGCCCGTCCGTGGATGACAGAATGACATAAATCGAGATTGTAGCGGCTATAAACTCGGCGGTCACGTGGTAAGCACACCACGTGTAGAGATTAGTGTGCTGCCGAGCTACGCTCTACATATGACATATGCAA